TGTATTTCAAGTTATTTATTCATTATGTTCAGAGGAAAGAAAAGGATTTTCTAGGCAATCGGGTGGCAACATATGCCTGCAGCGCAGTTATAGAATAATACAACATTATTATCTCACTCCGACCTCCTTCTTGGATCACTTCAAAGGCCTTGCAGCGCGTTTCGATTGAAAAGAGTAAATGGTCAGTTGTTGGTTCGGTCTTCGCTGAATTCCAGGTCATTTAACTGTAAATCTTGAAACTGGGCCATTTTGAGACGGAATAACTGTTAACAATTTTAATAAAGGTGGGTGGGAGAATTATTAAAGTGTATTAACACATGACACTAAACATAAAATTATCGCTACAGCGACAAGCGACAATATCTCCCCCGTGATCTACCCGTCTGCTCCAGTGTCTTCTGACTAAACCGTAAATTTATGAGGAGGAGTTCAAGGGTATTACATGATACTGGGATTTGTCTTATAAGGATATTCCCAAGCGATTCCTCATTATGCTCAATTTGGGCAAATAAAGTGGATTATGTAGCAGAATTCAAATATATAAGAACACAATGTAACCTACAATTAAACTGCAGCAAATTACAAATCACCAATAACAGGGATATATACACACGTAGCACACCTTTTTTGTTTTGTTTTTTTATGTGAAGCACAAATATCAGAAGTACAGTACATGGCCTAATTCTTTTCTGACAGCGACGGCCTGTTGCCAGCCGGAAGTTTAGCCCGTTTCTAAGGAAGTTGCTACGATGTGATTTCCTGCGGACCGTTTGAAATGGAGAATCCGGAGTTGGAGCGCCGCTTGACAGTGTTTCAGGTGTGCCTTACACTGTGTTGTCTTTCTGTTATTAGGTTCTTCTTATAGTCAAGGTTTCTTTCTTCTGTGTGCCTCTTCGCTTAAAAATAATTCCAGGTAATCGATAGGTTCTTTTTAAAGATTCGTGACGATGTCTCTATTAACTTTGAAGAGCCAGTATCCGAAAAAGAAATGTCACTGTCTCTCACGGTAGATGTTAAACGAGACAGAGTAAACCACATTATGTCGTCCTTTAATCGTGTCCTTTAAGCTCTGCACGTTGAAGAGAGTCAGAGCTAGACGAAATCGGCAATTCTGTTAAAAAAACCACCAGGTAATTCGGGTTTGTTTCTCTGTAACAGGCACTCATCCGCGGGTTCCTTGTCCGGCGACACTTCTCCAGTTTGCGGGGTGATTATGAAGAAATTGTCAGAGAGATAGATGGAGATTTGAGCCATCTAGAATGGCATGGGAACCTTATACCTGTCCCTGGTTTCTCATATGAGGTGGGTAAACTGTGCTTGTGCATGAATTGGTATTGCTTTTCCATAAAGATAAAATTATTCATCTCCGAAGTACCCCCATTTGATATTAAGTTTTGATATGAATAAGTCGATATGGTTTTGTGATTGTATGTGCAGACATAGTTCATAAGCTCTCTCTTCTGTTTTTTTCTTTAGCCGAGTTCATCATCACAGGCTAATTTATTTTGATTTTCTATTGTGGGTGTAGTTTTCATCTCCTTAAGACATTGCATGGGATTCATAACTGGTATCTCTCATTCAAGTGTGTTGCCTGAAATATAAGCATTTAGCCCTCGGAAAAATCTGCTCATTTTGGCAATGTTTAACATGTGTGTCTTTTCTCCAGAAACACCAAACATCATTCTATAAAATTACAAACTGTTTTCCCATCCTCGAGTCAGCACTGTGGTTAGATTATTTAAAATTTGTTTAATATTTTTTTTCTTTTCATTTTTTTCCAATTTTGAAAGCCTTACTCCTCCCCCCCTCTCCTGTAGTCAAGCTGGTATTTATTTCTTAGACTTATACAGCGCTTTTCTGGACACACGTCTCAAAGTGCTTTAAAGGAAATGGGGACTCTCCTCCTCCTCCACCACCTGGACGATGCGATGGCAGTACACCTGCCACACACCAGCTATCACTGGGGAGGAGAAGGGAGTGATGAAGCCAGTTCATAGATGTTCTGGCTCCTCAGTTCTGTAAGCCCACTGTACTACAACTGGAAAGTTATCAAGGTCCTCAAGCAGGAGCAGGAGGTTGCTCTGTGTGTGTCTTGACCCAGCAGTGTTCTCCAGGTGCTGCTCCCCATGAGTCTCCAGCAGCAGTAGTTCAGACAGAGGCCTCCTCAGCCGCGGTGGCTTTCTCTCACAGAAAGGTGCCAGGCCCAGAAGCCAGGACGGTCCAGCTGCAGGCCCGCCTGGGGCGGAACCTGGCTCTGGGAGCCGCGGGAACGAGCCGGGCCCAGCGACTGAAGTGCTGCAGCCCGAGAGAGACG